CAACATCAGAAGCAGAAGCGTCGCGATCTGGCAACATTGAAACAAGTTTCGAGAAGGACCACGTGTATCGACAGAAGGCGAGAAGAGAAAATTTACATACTTAAGTACTAATAGTTCACGAAAATAATAATTTTCGTGAACTATTATTACTTAAGTATGTAAAAATTTATTACATTTCCTGTTGTACGAGGGTTTTACCCAAGTCTCGAACCGTGTCAGAGTAAATCCGTGCTATAAAAGTACCGTGTTATACGGGGGATGGTACCAATTCTCGAACCGTGATAGAGTGAATCCGTGCTATAGAAGTGCCGTGTTATACGGGGGTTACCTGTATAATATGTCGAACTTTTAGTTCTAGCCATTTATCGATACTGTAGAAGTTTCCGTCGCTTCAAGGGATCCAAATTCAAATCCAGTTCGAAGCTTTGTGAGTTTTAATTACTTGGATTTCGTTTTATACTCTAGTCATTGACATTTATTCAGTTGTTCGTTTAATGTATAAAATGTTCGAGTGATGAAAAACCAAAGTTTTTTGAAATACCCGAGTAATTCTAGTTAAAATATAGGCTTTTGACCGGAAATGAATGCTGTCGAAAGGTATTGAAAAAACTATTACAGTAGTTGAATATAGTGTACTGTCGATTATACGCGCTAATGATGGAAAAGCCGTGCGCGGATAATCCAAACTACATACGGTACTATATTAAACTGTACTGTATTGAAGAAGAAGAAACGTAACTTACGATCACCCAGTACAAAAAAAAAAAATAAAGTACCCTTATTCAACGCTGTCCAAAGTGAGATTTAACGGTCTAAATGCCACCAAATCTGGTATGATATTTTAGGGCAGGAGGAAGACATTTCCGTTAAAAAAATAGTACCAAAAGTCACCACTATGACGTTTTATTTCGTGCTTAACAATCTAGGAGATATTGCTTAATGCGGTCTCCATTCTGAAGATGACGAACGATGTGTTCGACGGCCGATGGATGCTTTTCACGCGCAATATAATACTGTCTTTCAAAGCTGCTAAATTTACGTTCTTGATAAGCCGTACTTTTTAAATGTCCCATACCTAAAAACCACACAGATTAATATTTGGAGAACGAGGTTGCCAGGCGGTCGGAAACGCGTGACTAATCACTTATTTTCTAAAATGCCACCGAAACAGAGCGCTCCATCTTGCACGAAAGCGGTTGACTGCTCAGATGTTACCGGTAATCGCTGTTGCACCGAAGTGAAAATGTTCCTTCGCTCCACAGAACCTCGATGTATTTATTTTTCATTGTGGTAAGGAATATCGATGCAAAAGTCAATGGGTTTTCCTTTTCGGCGGCGAGTAACTGCTGGGTGTGGCTGATTTTATATGACAATGCACCAACTTTTTCGGTACCTTCCGCGCCGTGCCATAGGATACACCCAACTGCCGTAACACTACACGCGCGCTATTGCGGACTATAATATTCGTTGACAGTTCAACAATAGCTGTGGTTACTTCATTCACAACTTGCGACGGCGTTGACCGGCTGAACTCCTAAACGACTAGTTTACCCGAATCGAGTGATTGTTCACCCGAAAGCCGAATGGTGGACGTTGGCTAAATTTCCCAAGTGCAGCCAGAGTTATCTCATGAAACAACTTTACGAGAAATGCCCGTTTTAGCAAAATGATAGCTGGTAAGATTAATATTCGACAGTTGTTGCCACCCGCAACTTGACTGCAACACGTACGCTTACGTAAAGGAAACCTCTTCGTTGCTCGCAGAGCCAGAAGAGTGGTGAATTTTGGTAGTAATTTTTTTAATGGAAATGTCGTCGTACCAAATCTCCGTAGATGGCGTCGAATAGCGGTATTTTTAATTTACATATTTAATAATAGAGAGATTGTGGTCAAAGTTTCGTCTCTAAAACGTCAACGTCGAACGTTGAGCGCCGCCATCTTGTAAGCCTAGAAGTTTGACAATGGCGTTTGGAACGTCGAGCAAATCTCTCTAATGTTGTATTGTTTAAACAAATGCTTTAGGTGTACTGTAATTTTTTTCGCCGTTTGTGTTCTCGAACATTTCGTTATTTAAAAATAGACGAATCGGAAATGTTTCGAGTTTCTCGAAGGAAATATTTAAAAATCAAAATACAAGAAACACAAACCTGGGTTAAAACGTGGGCGTGTCGCGAACGTCACGTGGTACCGACTCGTTCAACGAACGGTTTCGGCCAACGAATTGCCATACGTTTCTATATTCAACGGTTGACTCAACAGTGAATTTTCCGTTGAGTCCCTCCGTTGAACGATCTGACGTCACGTTTTGCAGAAAAAAGAAACGCTTTCGTTGAGAGGTCGCTTTTCAAGATGGCTGACTTCAGTAACGAGAAGGTGGCGATTGTGACTGTTTTGCTAAATAATTAAAGTAACTCGCTTAACCATTATTCGAATAAATCCTTTTATTCAAATGAACCCGTATCTGTATCATTTTTTTTGTATACTGGGTCTTTTTTTAATTAATAATTTTAATTAATTTCTTGAATATTTATATCATTAGGAAGACTTAGCGGGCCAAATATCGGTCGTAATCAATTTTGGACAAATGAAAAAATCTTAATATTTCAATATTGACCAAATTATCCAACATAATCGTGCAATCACGTGTTTTATCATATACAGATTGTTCATTAATCTGTCCGCTATTACAGCATCCACAGCAGCGAATGGATAGTTTCTATAAGCGAAATTTACTTTTTCGTGGAAGCCGCCATGTTAGTTTGTTGACTACTCAACGGTCTTTCAGGTCGTTGAGACCGTTGAGCTCAACGGTGAAACAGCGCTGACGTCACTAGTCTCAACGGAGAACTCAACGGTCCATTTAGAAACGTTGTTCTCTCACCGTTGAGTCAACTGTTGAATATAGAAACGTACGGTTGGTAGCGCACAGTAATTGTCGATTACGCTTCTAAACAATTACTGCGTGACATGGACGCGTATTATAAATCTAGCTTTAGTCAGGAACTGTCGTTTATAATATATTTAGAATACCCGAATAATTTAGATTTTTGTGTAATTGTTTTAATAATAATAAAGCTTAAAAATAACTTTAGAAATTTCATTAGAATGTCGGTCTGACGATTCCCAGAGCCACTTCTGACGTTAAGCAATTGTTATATCTCGGGAAATTTATTAATAAACTAAATACAAATGTATATTATTTATTTTTTAATTGGAAGATAAACGTGCAAATAGAAATATTATTAATTTATTTTAATATTAATATTAAAATAAATTTTAAAAAATATACGAGAAATAAACTATTTCTCCTTTAATTAATTGTTGTTTGCTCGAATTTATTTTCCACGCCATCTTTTTTAAAGCTCGGTATGAAAAAGATGCGGACAAAACTCACGTCAATTGATTAATTACAGTCAAAATGAAATAGATATTAATATTTAAAATATAAATACGAGCCGAAGTAGAGGGAGATATAAAACTCTTGGTAAATTACAGTTTAAAAAGCAGAGATTGCAAAATATTATGCCATAAAGTTAAATTTGCCGATAGAATATTCCGACCAACTTCTTACAAAAATGCGCCAATGTACACCATCTGCAGTTGGAATGTATTAAATAAGCGGGATTATTATATCGACTGTACTTTCTGTTTATCTACGCAATGTATTAAGTTAATTAATCAGGATATAAGTACGATGTTTAGGATGTTAACTTACCATCTTGTTAATAGAAATTCATTTTTTATACCAGTCACTCTTATCGTTCAATTTTCTCGGGACAGAAATAGACAAATGTTTCTTCGCCAGTAAGACGATCGTTTTCTGGTGTAAAAACTTAAATATATTTAACACGATGGATTTATAGCGACGAGAACGAAGACCCCTGTCAAGGACACTCCGTTGCAAAGTCAACATTGCATGAGTGAAAGCTGGATTGATTCTCGTGGAACCAAGAGGGGGGAAGAGAGAGAAAGAGTTCTTTAACGATTACCGCTTCCGATCGTGTTTATAAACGTTAATTGCCACCCCCTAACGGATGGGAATTTATACAAATCTTTGCGAAACGTAAATAGTTTGGGTAATTACAATGAGTCTTCTAAACTGGTGGCAGGTTCCGGCGCCACTTGCAACGTCTGTGTTTACAAACCGGCACCTGGAATATTTAAGTAAAAGACCAGGAAGTGGTTTGCCGTCTGCATTCGAAAGACAAATATCGATGACGTATCAACAGTTTTTATTTTTTTCCTCTCGCTTCTTCGCCCGACACAAATTTAAATTAAGCCGAAACCGAGCAGATGTTTTGTATTACGTATTCGATATATTTATATAGGGATGGGGTTAGCGGGATTTATTTAGACTAGATCCCGTCGAGGTGGCTCCATCTGGTTGTTTCTTCAGAAGATTGATGCTGGGGAAGAAGACGAGAAATAAACTTTGTCGACCGCACCGTTACACGTCGGTGATGGTTTACGTCGTCACCGAACTCCTTTATTCGCTAACGGTGGACGATTAGTCGCAGAGAAGAGCCGACCGTCGGGTGTTGACCCCTTATCAACCCAACGGAAATAGTCATCCCCTTTTATATTACGCGAGTAGACAATGGCGCCGGGCCAAACTTATTTCTATTATGAAATATCGTTTTTAATATTCTAAATGTTTTTACGATGAAGCATTCTTTAGTTATTTACTGTTTTCTAGTATGAAAGTTGCCACACTTTAAAATATTCTTCCGTGCCTTTCGTTTCCGCTATTACCCGTTATAAAAACAAATGAACAAGTAATTAAAGTAATAGATTAACAATTAAGAACATTCATTTCTTCGTACGGTAACGAATATTTTTTCCGTTAGGAAGTAAATTATAAAGTGTTTTAACGAATAATTAAATGAGTTTGGTAGATTTATAGTTAATAATTATTAAAGTAATATTTCTATTGGCTTTAAATTAAAGATGAACTTATATTTAATCTCCTTAGGCGGTGACATTGATGGAACACATGTTTAGTAAATACCCAGATCTGTATAAGACGTCGATAGTGGCTTCCTTTTATCCAAATTTTATCTATCAGGTAAGGTTTTCTCTGTTTTCCACGTTCGCATTCAATTCGTTAATGATTTATCAATTTTTCTAGTTGAGACGAGTGGATCCTAAAATAGCCACCGCTTTGATATGGCGCCCTATGGTCGTTTCTACGGATAGCTATCCCAACGGTCGACCTAGACACAAGTCGACGATTAAAATGTTTTTGGCTAACGTGGCCGATTACGTTTTGGAATGGTCGATACATAATTGGCTTTGGTACGTTGCCGGTTCGTCCGTCGTCCTCATCCATAAAGACTGTCTGTCACCGTAAGTGTCGCTTTAGTTAATTGTTTATTATGTAAGGAATGCCACTCTATTCTTTCTCTCGCAGCTATTTGAGTCTCCGGCGATTGCTGTAAGGAATGCTCTCGCTTAAAATTAACTGCGAGCATCCCTCGCAACAGTCCGTTCTTTAATGTCTGACCTCTGTTTTTTACGTGTAGGCATTACGTTAGGATGTGGAAAGATCGGGGTGTTAAAGTATTAGCTTGGACGGTCAACCATCCGGTAGAGAAGGATTATTTGAGTAAATGGTTGAAGGTACCTTACATAACGGATACGATGCAGTGAAACCACTCCAATCTAACACGGAAAATGCATATTTTGTTTGCTTATTTATGCCAATTTTGAAGCATAACCGGTATAGTAACTGTTTCTTTCCTATTAAAAGGAGTACCCTGTTGTTTTAAAGGACATTTTCTATAAAATAGAAGCGAGAAAAAGTGTTTTAAACACAATATATTTATAAGGGTAAAAGAAAAAATAATTGTAAAATTATTATATGTAAGTTTTATTACGAAATATTTTTATATGGCCAAACTCCTCGAATTTCGCTTTATTTAAATTGAGATTTTAAAAGGAAATAATGTTATAACAAAGAGATTATGGATTCATCCCCGGAAACTAGCAACGTCGTTCTTGTTGCCAGTTTAATTTTAAAGCTTGTCACATTCCACAGTTTCTAGTTAGAGATTTTAATGATAAATAAAGACAAATTTTCATTCATTTTGTGAAATTTGATGCCATTTTCCCATTAATTATTTCTTATTTTATATATATTTAACAAATTTTATTAAATAAAAGTTTATTAAAGGCTTTGGTATATCTTCTTGGTTTATGTTTACACACTGTATACAACTTTAAATAATTTTTTCTTTTGTTATTATTAAACAGAATATCTTTATACGGAGAAACAAATTACATTTTTTTTAATATAAAAATCAAAATTATAGATCTATAAATTCCCACTGTCGTTCATCCGTCCGCCTGTCTTTCCTTAATCTCGAGAACGGCCTTAGACGAAAGACGAGACCGAATACGGAGGCCCCAATTAACGAGTTGCCGAACTTTCCCCGACAAAAAAGAAGTTATGTGTGGCGCCATCTGCTATGCTATTTTCAAAAAAGCATTTTATATTATTATTATTATTATTAACCGGCGACCGAGCGGTTCCGTTTCCTAAACACTGGGAATTCGGTCGTGGGTTCGCTCCTGGCCGGCCACGTAGGGGTCAGTTACCCTTTAAAAAAACCTCCCAGAAGGCATTTTCCCAGTCTCTTCGCGAGTAATTTCGTATGGTCAAGCAAAACGTATAGGCCGGCTCTTCGGAGGACAAGTGCCTACTCGATAACTTCCATAATTAACCCCGATACGAGAGGGAGAGAGAGAGATTGTTATAAAATGGCAAAAGATCTAATTTTGAGAGTAGAGACGAGTTTTATTATTTTTTAATTGTAAATGTTAATAACGAGTAAAATCTTGATTAGGTCCCACCACATTCGAGATTCGACACGCGATTCCTCTCTCTCCACTCCTCGACTTTTATCCGCCAAAATTTAATAGCATCGATGCCCCTAATATACAAACCCCCGCAACATTTCAGAAAATTTCGAAAAAAGACACGGGAGTTAAGCTTCAAATTAGATGAACAAAATCGTGTTTCCCCCCACACACAAAACACTAACATCTATACGTACAGAGAAAAACCCAAACTTATTTGTTTATTTGCATGGCTCGGCATTCGAAGATCCCCGAGTCTAATAATGTAAAATTTTTAGGGAGGGGTCATTTGAGGGAAACGAAAATTACGATGTAAATATCGCGCACGAATCCGTCATTTTAACACGAAAAAATAATGGCAGTCGGCCGGAGAGACACGAAAGGAGAACTCCGACGAGAGATTAACATCTTATTCCAAAAATGCACGAGGAAAATTCGGGGTGCCTAGCTGTAGTTGCGCGAGTACGCGGGGTCGAAGGTGTGGCGTGACATTCTCGACGCGCTGGCGTTACTACTAGCGTTATTCGAGAGGTGCCTAGTCTGCAGTTACGCCAACGTTTCGAGAATATCACGCGGTATCGACTCGTCTAGTAAGACCAATCGCCGGACGAATTCGCGTCACGTGACATTCCGACACACCGGTGTGGCTATCGGCATAACTCGAGACAGCAACCGGGACGGGAAAGGAAGGATATTCGCTGGTGAGATAACGTTTCGTTTCGCCAACGATACCAAATCGAGAACGTCGTGCCCCAAACATCTCTGGATTCGGTATTTGCTTTTGGCAACGCGACACGCGGGCGATGTGCCGAGGGGTTGCCTCCCGGGAGGACTTTCTACGGGAAACTCGCTCCTCGGATGTTACAAACGTCAAGAAAACCCGAACGGCCGCAACCGACTACCGGTGTTCGGCGATTTTATCCATTCGGCCACTGTCGGGCATCTTTTGATTCGGACAGATTTCCGTTACAACAAAGATGCCATTGTTGGATTAAAATGTAAGAAGTGGTGACAGGAGGTGTTAGGTCTGATCCACGCTACCCAGCCGCTCGCGGTTCCCTCAAATATTTATCGGTTGCGCGCAATGTACAGTACTGTACGTATTTACACTTCGAGTAACGCTCGAGTCTCCGCGTGGCGTAAATTTGTAGGTGTCAAATCTTTAGTTAATGCGTAGTTACAAAAATAATTAATTGTTGCGCGGATGGCCCGAACTTTCCGAAGGCTTTATTATGTCCAGCCAATAAAATTGCGGCCAAAATTTTCGATATCTTTAACCGAAATTTACCTACTTTTGAAACGATTAATTAATAATGTAATATAATTAAATTAAATAAATAAATTATGCCCGAGGAGTTACTTGAAAAGTATGTACGAAAGCAATTCGTGGCTGTCCGAAGTGATTTTTGCCGTATTTAGACTAAAATTTTCTAGTTTGTTACTTTGTGTCGACTTTCACAAAAGTTATAGAACCTTCGGTGATACAAACTTATTCAATGTATAATTAAATTAATGGAAAGATTCCAGTTTCGAATCGGTCGTAGCGTTATTTCCACATGGTTATCGTCCACGGATAGAGAACGATTCCTCGACCGCGCGGTTAAAATCGTAAAAGAAATTATATAGATTTTTAAAAAGTTGTGTTTCTCGAAAACATTCGAGTGGATATTAAATTGCGCTAATTTTACGTGGAAAAAATCCTTTAACATTACGCTTTTCTTGGCAAAAACCCACCCAAGAACTTGGTGGAATCGAAATACATACAGTATTGGAAAAAGCTTGCAACGAGTTGCTTAACTTTCCCGGCAACATTTGGTGGCACAGTCTGTTATATTTTATTTTAAGAACTTTTCGCGTTTTTAACTATTATAAAATGGCCAGAAGCTTAATTTTGAGGGTAGGGATGGGTTTTATAATAAAAAAAATTGTAAATGGTAATAACGAGTTAAATTGTCGTTAAGTCCGACCCCATTATCTCCCCCAGCCCTTCGACCTTTAACCGCCAAAATTTAATAGCATCGATCCCCCTAAAATCTCCCTGCAAAATTTGGACAAAACGCGCGATAGTAATTAAACTTCAAAGAGGGTGACCACGCGCAAACCTGGCCAATTTTTTTGCATTTCTCGACGTTTCCAAAATGTAAAAATCTCGAGGGGCCGTTTTTCGACCGATCTCCATCGTGAAGAAGTTCTTTCTTCTTCACGATGGAGATCGGTCTTAAACGAGAGGAACTTAAAATTTGATTTACGAAAAAAAGACGAAAGACGCCGAAAAATCATCTTTCGAACTTTAGCCGTAAAATATTGTTGTCAATAGCAACTCCAGCCGAAAATTTATCGACGCTTCTGTTCAAACGGATGCATCAATAAATTTTGCCACCGAAATATCGATTTTAAAGACTAGCTTCCATTCGCTCCGAGATAGGGCCCTTTCTCCTTATAAATAGTACCGGGAATTTCGATACTTAGCTGTAATATATATAGATAATTACGGATGATTTTGAAATCGCAGACCCGCCCATTCCCGCCGTTATTCCTTAATCTCCAGAACGGAGTTAGACGAAAATCGAGACCGAATACGGAAAGCTTAAAATTATCGATTGACCGTATACCAGTCTCCAGTCCGGACCGGAAGTCACCAGAGTTTTTAAATTAAAATACGGCGTGGAATTCTTATTTCGAAAAGTTATCGAACCTAACGGTGTCCGAGTGGATAAAACCACCGAACGCCGGTAGTCGGTGACGGGTTGGCGTTGGGTGTAATACCTAAATAGGGGCCGGTTTTCCTTAGAAAGCCCTCCCGGGGGCATTCCTTTTTCGGTATATCGCCCGCCAGTAGCGTTATCGATACCGACACAAATATACTAACGTTTTAGCAGCCCGGGAAGAAGCGCCATGGCGCCAAGGAATCTAACGGATATGGTGGCCCCGGGCAGTTTTTGACTTTTCTCGGTTCGAGCCCGACGTGGGCGGAAACGTCGACGTTAGGAATTTTGACGTCGATTACGTCAACGAGTGGCTAGGAAGTGGCGGAGAGCCGTGGTCGAAGAACGATTTGGAAGAGCCGGCGGAACGACCGGCTAAAGAAGACGGCGAAGAGGAGAAAGAAGTTTAGGAAACGGGACCGCCGGGGCTCTCGTCACGAAGACATTTAACGGATGCAAATTGCCCGCGAATCTCTGGCGTAGACCGACCATCCCCAGAAAGTAGCTCTTTCGTCCGAAGCGTAGACGTAACGAATTCTCTCGAACCAGGCCATGGGCAGAAAACTTTCCAGGGAAGGATAAAGCTCGAAGACAAATAATTACGTCGATACATTCTTATTTAATTTTTAGTGGTTTCTTCACAAATAGATTATATAATAGAATACGGTATTTGGTCAAAGCGTCCCGTCATCCAGGACGTAAAAAATTACGCGTCGCTTCTACCATTATAATTTGCGGAATTTTGTACTCGATCTCGGGGGCGAGTGCCGCGTTGGCCCACCTTGGCCTTTTCTCGAAGGACAGAAGGAATAAGTCCTTAATGTAATTCTTAGCCAGAAAGCCTGGGAAAAACTGCCCGTTGATTAAACGCCGGGCTTCTTCGTTACGCCGCCGTTTTCAAATACGATTTTAATTTATAACTTTTGTCTTATTTTATTTATAAATACTATTTGCGTAATTATAAAACATGGCGACGTTCGACCGGGCGCCAACGTACGACCGGCGTTGGATGGTTTTATCCACCGGGGCACCGGCGGGCGCATTAAAAACCAGGAGGAGGAATCTATTTCGAATTAGAAATTCTGTACTTAATTACCGGTTAAACTTACGCAATAATATAGAAAGAGTACGTTCTAAACGTTCGCACGTTTGTATAAGAGAATAAAATAAAGGAAGATAATATCGCTACTTACGTTTTATTCGTAATCTCGGGCCAAACGCCGCTTGGGTGCCAGACCCATCTTATTTATACGCGTTTGTTTTTAGACTCGGGTGGTTCCGAGCTATTTTATACGCGTTTTTGTGGCAGCCGGTTGTTTACACCGCCCATCTTATTTATACGCGCCTCAATTCGGTACGGGGAGGTTGGTAACGAATCTTTAAAAATATACGCGGTAGCCAAGCTCCGTTTACTGGGTTAAAATGATTTTAAGGAAGGCGAATTCCTTTCGGATTAATATTTAGTCTCCGTCGCCATCCATCGGTGTAGTTTAGGCCTATATTATGTCTAAGTCCTTATATCGAGTAGATTCGATTTTCAACTTTTTTAAATAACGTAAGCGCCGCGAATCGGAAATGACGAGCGACGAGAAAATAAGCGACAACGTAGTCCGTTTCGTACGAAAC